TAGAGATTATAAAATTTGTTATGATGTGTTATACAGGATGGTGTATACAAGTATAGTACCGAGTGAACAGGTTTCACCTAACCAACCAGCTGATTAAGCAGAATTTCCTGACATACTATAAAGTATACAAGCTGCCTGGCGTGTGAGAGCCCTCTCTTCACGCAAAGTTTTCTCGTATTCTGTAAACACTTAATACGAGGGTCGACTGTTTGTGTAAGCAAACATACACCATAGTGGTATTTGCGAAAGAAATCCAGAGTTTGAGTGTCTCTATCTTTAAGAGGGCAATTCAACATGTACACATAACATTGATCATATCTCGACACTAGAAAGCTGAATGCTCGTTAAATTGTTGACAAACCTTGAGCACTAGCGCTGGGGAATGGAAATAGAGTGTACTGTATTGTATATATCATTTCTATCTAGGTTGTCTAGAATCTCCATATTACATGGCACACACAGGCCTATCCAGTGAGTCCCAATTTTCGCCTAATCTGATGAAAAGCATTTATTCAAGGAAATAAAGAAGAAAAGACCTATCCAAACTAGTCAGCTAGAATTGTCTGAAGAGCCTAATAGCCTGGGGTCGCAGTATCTAACCTGGGTGCATCCAGCATAAATGAGAAAAAATTATGTCAGGTAATTCTAGGTGCGGTGAATTGCAGCTTCGGAATTAACGTGCCGAAATGATCTTGGAGGAGAAAAGATTTGTACCATATATGGAATCTTTAGGCGACCCCAGCGACTTGGGAAAGGCGACAGATTAGTTTGGGGAGGACCTATCTAAAAATTATTTCTGACCAGTGCTACAATTAAATAATGGGTCATGTACACTGCTGATGCCGTGCACTTGGATGATACTTTATACCGCAGTGGTCATGTTTTTATCCTAAAAAGTCTATGACTAAGTGAGGACATGTATGTCTTTTTTGCCTATAATCTAGGAGATTGTATGACTCTGGTAGTGTTCTCCTTCGTGTGTTTCCTTCACAACTTCTTTCCAGCGGGATTACCCCCACTGGCCACAAGTTGAGTGAATATTCAGAGCAGCTGTTGTGCCGTGATTGTCTTCCCACTCTAGTCAGAAAAATTGTTGCCATTTGCGAATTTAAAGATGTAGAGAAAGGTCTCGGAAACCTCTGAATGCAGGGCTCCCCTACCTACGTCAGGACTAAATCCGGAGACGTAGCTGGTTTAAAGCGCTCGAAGAGGTCAGTCACCCAAGCGCAGTACCACTGTATATACCTAAGAGTATCTCTCAACCTTTCTATCCTCATCTTTCTCCTACCCTGATTCATGCCGCAGTACAAACTGAAGGTCGTAAGGGGATAGCAAAAAAGCCTTAGACGAGAGTGACTACCGTGAAGGAGCCTGGCCTTTTGGCCAGAAATCAGTATGGATGTGTGGGTAGCGACGCGTTCGTGTACTTTGGATGTCTCACTGGCTAGTAGACTAATAGATTAAGATTTTTAGCTTAGCTTTCGAGGGCTTACGGCTCGCACGCCTGTGATGAGCATATGTATTTTTTTGATGAGGGCTTCGATGACAACCGTTTTAGCCTTCGCTGCCTCAATACCTTCCATTCTTCCCAGGGTCAACATCGTTGTCTTGATCGTGTTGTGTGTTATCGGAAGCGTATCAATCATTGGGGAAGGGAATAATTTACGTGAAAATTGAAAATTAGTGACTCAGCTTTACCTCTGAAGGCTCTAGGATGAAGGTTAAAGTTAATAGAAGGTAACGCGGACAGATGTTGAATCAACATCTCCCTATGCCACGATGCTTTGGTCAATGGTAAAATAGGCACAGGTAGCTATCATAACGCGGAACTCACAAATTTGCTTAGCTATGATTAAGTAATTAAACTGATCGGCATGGATGTGACATATTGAGTCTCGCTCGACAAGGATTATCTGCGTTTGAGCATCATGATTCATTTAATCAGTTAGTCATGTCTCATCAATTGGAGCAAACCTACTCACTTCCATGCGTCACTCGGTAATCTTGAAGCGAGGCTTCAGAACAGATACGGCGCGGAACATAACCCTTTAGATGAGCGAGCAGCGCACGACAGCTTCTCATCTCGAACAAGTTGATTAACTTATTGCTTGAAGCCTTTCGACACAATATTAGTTGGTGTCAAAAGTACTTGTCGATTGTGGAGTAAAGTTAGCTCTTAGGGATTATACACTGAACTGGTGTTTACATGTCCTGATTGGGACTCTAAATCCTTGGAAAAGGTCAAATAGAATGAGTGAGTGAGTTTTAATTTAACGCCAAGTAGGGTCACTGGCAGGGCCCGGCCTCTGAGCCCTCGAGAGGCCGCCAGACGTATCTATATCCTATCGAAATAACTATTCTATCTGCACCAGCGGCTTAGCGGTGAGCAGAAATCTCCTGCGGCCATAAAAGTTAAATAGAATTCATGCAGTGCAGGACAACATGGTAGCGTATGTCACATTGTTTACATGTTGTAACGACATATTTGGATATTTTCAACCACTTTACACTAACAATTTCGCAGTCTGTGAGAGTAACTCCAAGCAACTTGTAGAATTGACGTAGATTCCCTGGCGGAGGGAACTTTGCAACATATATTTATATACTGGATATCAATGCGGCTGACAGCTGTTTGTTTGTTCATGAGGGTGCTAGGTAAAATGTCTCTCGTCGCACTCCTACTGGAGCTTGAGCACTAATGGGGTCGGGCCGGATCAGGTTAACTACCGTAAAGTACAAGTATGCCTCGTACCACCTAAATGACCAGAACCATGCCAAAACGCATCTATGTGTTGAATCATGATGATTTCAGCAGCCCAGTATGAAAACAAAAGAAAACTCACACGCGAAATCTTGCATTACAAAGAAAATCTAATAATATCTTCCTTCCATCGTTGTGCCACAGCCACTACGCGCCCGAGCCTCGATCCCGATCCCTTTCACAATACCAAAGCACCTAGGCTTTAGATCTATGTCTTCCGAGTCACAGGTATCGGCGGATGGCTGGTCGGGCGTTTTGGTAGTTTCTGGGTTCTGCAGGGAATGCGTCGCCCAGCACGTGACTAAGCTCACAAGCTCTGCACTGGCACGACCTTTAATTGTGTCAAAATCAAAATCAAAATCAAAATTTAACCAAACTCAAACTCAACTTCTTTACAGTAACCCTCCAAGGAAAGAGGACAAGAAAGCTTATTATCCTAGGCAATAGCCCAGAAATATGAACAAGAGATAAAACCTTGACAGAACATATTAAGTGCCGATTTCATTGCTACTTTTTGAAGTGGAGCATAGGATGCTTGCGCCTCCATTGACGGTAAATATTCAAGTAAATAATCGAGACCGAACCACTCTTTGTGTTACAGAATATCAACTTCATATCTCTCATCGCCATGATGAATGTGTTCTCGAGGGCTCCCCTTCCCTGTGTAGTAGATGTATTGTCTGAGTAAACTCTGGTGGGGCGAACTGAAACCGACCGACGGTCCATGAGGCCGCACTGAGCTGTACAAGTCACGTTTAGACATTGGAAGACAAGTCCTGGCGCCTATAGTGTCTCTTAAAGTTATAGACTCTTTTAAATAATTCAAACTTTACTCCGTCCTGGTTAGTATCTTGTACCAATTTAACTCAATCTCCCTATACAATCCTTAAAACTAGCCTCGCAGGGGTTATAAGCCACAAACTGTGTAAGTATTGGAGTGTTTGTAGTGTCGCAATTACGAATGTAGAACATCGTTGGAGCTGGAAAATGAAACGAAAAATAATTTGGTCGCAGAATAAAGATTGTGTAGAGTCGTCTTCTTATACGATATGGCACAGCAAAAGACTGTAGCAAGAAGGGCAGTTTTTTCCATCATTACCGAGTTTTTTTGGAAAGCTAAATTTGAGACAATGAGACAATGAGATGTTAGTTGGCCCGATGATCGTCCTTACTGCGAGCCAGTCGGAAGAGGACCTATTTGCTTAGTCACCGACATCCTAAAGCTCTCAGACTTCGACACCACATGGAGGGCTGCAGTACGAACTTGATTGATAGAACAGAAGATACGGCTTGCACCCTAGTACGTAACACTACCAACCTCACGTTATTAGAATACCCAATTGCTCGGATAACCCATGATGAAGGGCTCTAGGGAAATGTTACTCACAGCTATCGCATGCGGTACGAAAGCTCAAAGACAAGATTTTATTTGCAGCAGTGAAACTACTCGATCACCCGGAACGCTATGAAGAAGATGTATTAAGAACAGCTACATAGAGCTGGAAATATTATGGTATTACCAGGTAATTTTGCATGAAGACTTTAACTACCAATGCACTTAGTCTTTACTTGCAAGGATATCATCGCCGTGGGGATCGTGAAGGTATGGTAATTTTTGCTTTCATACGGGAATATTAAGAGAATGAATAAGCTATGACACAACCTAAGCACTACAAATAATGATTCTGCTGACATGCAGATGTATGTTTAATGACGCCTCATCATCTTCGAATCTCCGGATAGTATTCTATCACGCCTGCTGATTAAGGTGCCTTCGAGAGCCAATAGGTATCTGAGATTGATATCATCTAAGCCTCAGATCTACGCCAAATCGTCACTTCACATCCTTGCATCCCATCATAAGCGTAAGTGCATTTCCTCACAAGGTGTAAATTCTTCCCGTCAGCTAGCTGAAGTTCTCAGATTGCAGGCATAATGATAAGGTTCCGCGTTAAGCAATACATGCTGGGATATTACCGGCTCGTCGGGGCTCTTAAGTTGTAACCCACATGACATATCACTGGGCTTGTGCCGTGCATTTGGTGACAAACCTACACAAAACGGGTGAGATGAGCTTTAAGAATACGTACTTAGTCGTTGAAGATCGAATCTATTGCGTCAATTGACAGTCATTATTTCTACATTCTTCAAAAACTAGACATGTATCACACAAAGCGGCAACGATGGTGAGAAAGTACATCACAGTGTATGGATTATAAAATATATATATTGTATTGAAATGGATTTAAGGCCTTCAAATTGCAGTTTTCATTTTCATTCCAAACTCTCTCCACCCATCTCAAGTCACGCAGCAAGAGTTTCCAAAAATATGGTCGTCTTACAATACTACCCCGAACGGATCGCCGCCTCCGATGTCGAACTAGGAGACAAGATAATCGATTTACTATACTCCTATTCACCGGCTGGAAAGTCAGTCAGACGCATGGAATTTGAGAGATTAGTTCGCTCGTGTGTCTCGCGTCGAGAATCTCTTCATCTTGTTCTTCCCGCTTTTCCGTTCAAGTCTGCAAACCGAACTGATAAAGTCCTGGGTGATCTTCCGGACATTGGCGAAGAAATGGCCCTGGCACTCCTGAACCGAATATGTACCGACATTAATAATATTTATCCTGGATCGTATACTACAGTAACCATCGTTTCAGATGGACTGGTTTACAACGGTAAGGATTCAAAAAATTTGGAGACCTTTACCAACTACTTCAACTAATTCAATTAGATATTTTAGGTATCTCAGATGAAGATGTCTGGAATTATGGTTCAGCGTTAAGACAGATTTCTAAAGAAAAATATCCTTGCATAAATTTTGCCCGGCTTAGCAGTTTAATAGATACTGATTTACCAGAGCCTGAAACAAAAGAAGAGTACATATCCAACGCTAATCGATATAGAGAGGAGATAGCCAGTCTAGGTCCTGATCAAGATCCTATTGGCGGGGCACATCTAGAGCAACAGAACGTTCTCATGACATATCGAGGTTACATAAAATTCCTCGCTACTGATCTAAAATATGATGAGAGTCGAAGAAATTTAAGCAATAGTCAAATCAAGAAAAAAAATCAGATCGTCGCAAAAAAGATGATTCAAAGGGGTACTGTACGTATCCACATGATAAGTTCTACATAGACTACAATTGTTAACAAAATCTAGGCTTACTCTTTGGCCGTTAAAAATGCCTTTCCTTCCTCCATACGGCTTTCTATACATCAGTCTCAGAGCCAGTATAAGCTTCCCATTTCTCTCCTTCTAGGCGAGAATAATTATACCACCCCTTGGCATTGCGCATGCGCGCTTAAGCCTGATGGAACCTGGCAATTTGCACACAGAAAAATCTTTCAAGAAGATCCACGTTATCAATTGATTTATCGCAATGAAAGACCTTCATTCTATTACATGACTGGCAACTGAATCGAGCGGATTGACGGATATATTTTTTAGCAACAATTTAACAATTAGTGACGTGTATATCATGTTCTAGATCCTTCAGGGCGAGAGATTAGCCTTTATAAATGAAGACAATAAATAAAGCCTCCAAAGAACACGCAAATTTTAGGCAATAAACCTCAAAACAGACGCTTTCTCAGCGTATTGAGGCTGAATACGCATAAACAAGGGTTTTTCGCAAGCGCAACAGTTGTTTGAGATAAATGATAATATGATGCCTAGCATATTATTTGGAAACAGACAATGAGTTATTGATGAAGCTGGGATATTATACTTATGATATGGGTTTTAGCGAGTTGATATAGCAAGCTGATAGAGTTACAGGCCTTGTCTATGCAGGCCATAGTGTTCGAAAATTTAATGATAGTTTTTCAGAATTATGCATTAGGCCTCCTCTTTCGTGCTACCAGTAAACTGAGATCTTGCTACTCGGAGTTCTGTACCTATTAAGTGTCCTGCTTGCTGACAAAGATGTTTTCTTCACCTCCAAAAGATGCTAGAGTAATCGCGTAGAATAATCTAAACGTCTGATTTAACCAGGAAGAATTATATCCCTATTGGAAACGGATACACAGAGTGTCATGGACATGCGGGCCATTCATTTCGTCAAGGTTCCCAACAAGATCCTGTGAGTAGTTTAGGGATTGAAATGTGTCGTAGTTACCGCTTCGGGCTACGTAATGGATACATGAGCCGCTGTATGGCGCGGGTACACGGAGTTTATTGAGGGTTTCCATGCCTAGATGGCGCCGTAACCGTATATGCAGTGGCTTAGGCGTTGTGTCGCTTGGACTTGTAGTTATAGCGCACACCACGCAATCTCTTAGCAATAATCTGAAAATGACACACTCCCATTCAACTTCTTCTTTTTTCCCTGAAATATTGCGCTCATTTCGTTGCGTGATACATCCAACGGAAGTCAAACACAAGCATATATATATAAAAGTCAACCTCTTCAAAGCTGCAAGAATATTTACTGATGAACAAACAGGCAGTGCAACAATGAGCTTCAGAGATACACCCCTAAATATCCACCGCAACCTAAGCAGGGCCAAAAGTAGTGTCGTCGTCAAGCTAAGAAGCGAGCATATCAGGTTCAATTCTTACCTGTATAGAAGAAAAGTACAATAAGTAGAAAAACCTGGCTGTTGATGTAAGTATCAGTCAGAAAACGTCAATCACATGTCCTTGACGTGTCCGCTGTGGAAAAATGGAGGAGTCGAAGTTCTTTGACTAGCTTACGACGGGCCCTTTGAAGTGATGATTAACAGCCCAGAAGATGTGGCTAGAATCACACAGTGGATACTAAGCAAAGGATGGATAAAATAGCTTCGACTAGCAGGGCAAGTCGAGGTAGCAATGTCCGATAAAATAACCCGATCAGTATAGGGAGAGGACTGAATCCGCACTGGCTGAATAGTGTACACTGCACTTCCTACAGATAATCTAGGCAATTTGATAGCAATTGAGTAGGCAGGATCAGTGGGCTTTTCACCAAATTAGTTTTCTCCTCTGTAAATAATGAAAATAGTCATCTGTATTGACTCATAGTCTGACCTCACTATTCACCCAGACCTCTACCTACTTAGGGAGAACTCCCCCAAAGAGATTCATAATCCGGTGCAATAACCTCAGCCGTTTCATCGTCATCGTAAACGCCCTTCAATCTAGTCTCAAGCTCTAGCATATCAAGTTGTAGTCAGGAGCCTCAAGACACCACGTAACCATTGCACCACCCGACTCTTTGTGATAATCACACACCCTGTTTCAGAAGAACATCTAATGCATGCAAGAAACATTAAAAATAAACTTTTGAAGAAGTCATTTCAGTCAAGCCAAAATGTCTGACACGGAAATCCAAAAGTCATCGAGCATCATAACTCGTAGCGTCAATAAAAGTCTTCGCGAATTTGTAGAGGAAACAAGGACGAAGCAAAAACTAACAGAGACAATGATAAAGGCCCAGTCCGACGCAGCAATTCATCACATAGGCAAATCACAATAAAAAACAGCGCTCAATACAGAGAACTTATCAATAGGATGAATAGCCTAGAAAACTTGATGAGGGACGTATCAAAGACTCTTAATGGAGAGAGCTAGGTAGATACCCGAAAAAATAAATCAGAAAACCTCGCTGCCGACATCCTAGAACTTCGGGCCACTAACCCAGATTCGCTGCCCGCAGCTGAAATGTTCTCGACACCTTTTTCAACGAAATCTTAACTTAGAGGAGAAGATGACATAAAATGTTATCAAACGGACGCATCTACCTCTCCTCAACGACAAAAGACGATTCCAGCAAACTGTCTCCCGGGGAAAAGTTCGTCAAAGAGGCCTGGCCTCAAGCCCTTCTCGCTAAAGATGTTATGCAAGATCAATTTGCCAACATCAAAAACAAAGTCTCTCTTCGACTGGAACTTCGCCTGTCAACTGTAGATTCAACTACCTTTACCAATCTCGCAGAAATTCAATCAGCTTTCCGAATTGCTCTCGTACCCTATTGGTACTGGCCGCAATAAATCAGCATGGAGATGAACGAAGATTTCCATTCTGTCCGAGTTTGAGTAGAAGAAAATCTATCGGTCACATGGATAATGCTTCTTGAGGCAGTATTCACTACAATGCAAAAGCTCGACGCGCTACACAGCCCACGAACTATTTTTACTCGTTTAACGACCCATGAAGGCAAAGATATTACGAAGTTTGCCTCACGCCTTCGTTCAACATTCTATCAACTTTCAAAAAATGAAAGAGACAGCGACTACATCAGAGATGCATTCATCGATATCGTCAAAAATGGTATTGCCCTTGTCTGGACACATATCCAACCGCAAATGAAAGAGAATTCGACGGGAGAAGCAGTCGAATTATTAACTCAAACTGCAAGAAAAATTTCAAAATGGCCAATAAACATGGGTGCATGCACGACAACAACGTCTAATAGGAATGATCCTGTGATAGCTCTATCATAAATGCTAGACGTCACTTCATTCCAGACAAACGAAAAGCTAGGGTCAAACCATGATAACACCTTAATAGATCTCATCATGCCCATTCGAGATAGCAGTTGAAATATATGTAAAAAAAAAGGGATATCGGGCACGAAAATGCCCACAGGGTAATAGCTAGGAGCTAGATCAAGCAAGAAACAAAACGGGGCATAGTAACGAAAACCAATCAGGAATAAATAAGAAATTTTCCGCCCTCATTGCACGAAATCGATTCCCGGTTCGAACTCCCATTCCCCACAGGACCACCAACTACATTCGCATCAAAAGATCCTACCTAGTCAACTCAAATCAGACTGACGCATATGTCACTTTTGAAGACCAAGAGAACACTGACGACGAGCCAGAAAGAACATTTGACGATTTTAAAAATAATTCATCTGAATAAGGGAGTCAAAATGTCTACTTCGTGCCAGTAGGCATTGACTGCTACAGCCAACCTCCCGATAAACATTCGATCCGGGAGGGTTTTGGCAAGCCTCATAATATTTTTTGCGCTCGTTTAACTGTACTTCCTTCAATCGAATTTTCTACTTTCTTTGATTACAGCTGCCCGGCTTGTTACATTTCCGCAACACTTGCTAAATCACAAATTCCTTAAGAATCTAATCTTACTTCTCCGACACCTAGAATTGGTGGAGCAGTTCCCACTGTCATTCAGGACGTAATTTTTAAAGCGCAATTCTTTATCTCATCCAAAAGCCAAATTCATTGGTCGCAAAATTTCGTTGTTTCAGTAGGAATCGCCCCTGAATGTGACAGTCGGGGGAAGTGCTCAATTTGGCTTGAGATGCAGGATCAATAGTTTACAATTCTTCTAAGGAGAGAATATGTATGTTCAAGAAGGACTTATTAATACCCGCGATCTCCTCCAATACGTGGCCCGCATCTATTCCTAAGAGCGGACAGATATACCTATGGGGAGTTTAGGTTTCTGCAATGGTGTTAACTCCCGACGCTCGTCCTGCCACTCGGCTACCTTTCAATCAGTTTCGCCGTGCCCGAAATAATCCTCTCTGCGCCCATCAAAGTGCTGTTAACTTTCTCAATAGATGTTCAGGCACACAGTCCTCTAATTATGTTACTCCCCGTGCCCGAGGCAATCCTCCCCGCGACTGTCCGAGTGTTTGCTAGTAGTCCGAGCAGTAGAGTGAGTTTTTCATTACCTGAAGTCCCAGCGGGTGGAAAGGGTGCCTGCGTTGGCCAATGAAGTCTACAGGGTTTACTGTTGGTTCACTAGCCGTCACACTGAAGGAACATTCCCAGGAGAACTCACACTCGGACAAAAAATATTCCACACCCTCGGCCTCCAATTTCAGTCCCAGGGTAAAATTCAACCACTTCATATGTCAGGACAACAAACTATCTCTAAAACCCCCCCCCCTCCCCCCCCCAAACTGTCACACAAAAATCTTTCATTTACAACCTTCGATGATCAAATCGTCAAATTCCACCTTACAACCATGCCTACAGGCTTAAAACTCGGCGAAATGTATATTGAAAAATTTCCCTCATTATCCAAAAAGTCTGCGCGTAAAATAGAGGTCCTATCCAGAACTAAACACCGTATTGATGCGGCCAATCACAGCCCTATAAAATTACCTCCCAGAAGGTACAGTCACGTTCAATTAGAGGCGATTCGTGAATTCTGTAAAGCACACAGTGGTACCATCATCCGAAAGAGTGCAAGTCCATGGGTAGCGCCCCTTCATGTGACCCGAAGAAAACACCTACCAAATCAGTCAAAACCGTATGGCAAATCTGTGTAGACTATCCAGGGTTGAAAAAGGTTACAAAGAAACACGCCCACCCACTACTTAACGTTCATGATGAAATTCAGCGCGCCGCTGGTCACAAATTTTCCTGGGTAAATGCAGTGGAAGCTAGGATGGTGTCTTGTGGGGAGTTCCGTTCCAAAACACAACTCGGGGTTAGATCGAGTTCCCAAACAATTAG